CTGTGTTCCAAAAACGTGAATTGTTAAATTTCGTGATTGTGCCTGACTCAATTTAAAGCTTTCCATGGCGGAAAAGAAATACGTCCTTCGTTCTTAGCACTGATCATTTTCGAGATAAAAGGTTCCTCAACACAATGAGTTACCTTAGTACATTTTTGTTCAACTTTTTTTTTGATGGTCGATTTCATGATTTACGCTATTAGCAAACAAGGGATTGTACCTCAAACAAACCTGACGAGCAATAAGATTTGACCTCTTTTAAATAGGTTTCCAAGCTTTTTTCTCGAAGCGTAATCTCATGCTGAATGAAAATCAGGTGATCTATGAGTAGCCCGTATTTTTGTTTAAATTGTTCTCAGACGAAAAAAGAATGTAAACACAATAATTGTAGTACATCACTTCAATAAATAGAGGATATTACATGGCCGCTTGGGGATACGAATTTTATCTTCTCGTGCTGAAAGTATACTTCTATACTTCTCTGTATGAGAGATACTTTCAGCACGAGAAGATAAAATTCGTATCCCCAAGCGGTCATGTAATATTCTGTTTATGTAATAGATACTGATGAAATTCCTACATAAAAGACAACTTTTTTTTGTATTCATCTTTGAAACAGCAAAATAGTGCAATTAAAGTGGTCACCTATCGCTCGTAAAAAGTATCGATGTGAAAATTTGACAGCTTATCGAGAAAGTCACCGGTAACTGTACTGTCTTCGCACCTCGAAGCCATTTTGTGAATGAAATTTCAAAAAAAACCGGCCGCGTGCCTGAACGGGAAGCTCTCTTGTAATTGGCTAATCATGTTAGTAACCACGGCGACACCGATATCCTCTCACGTGAAAGATAAAAATAGTATCTTCCGCCTGCGCGCGATGAAGATTTTATTTTTTAGTAAAAGGAAAAGTCGTGGTATTTCATCAGTATCTATATAATAAAAACTTTTTAACATACCAAGCCGCGGTGTGTAATACTCCGTTCAGCGCGTGTGAAGCATCTTACCTAATTTTACTTCTCAATTTTTTCCTCCAAGTTCCTTGTTTTTGTTTTGTTCATTTATACTGATGATATAATTAAAAAAATAATGATAATAATAATAATGCTATCCATTCACAGTAGAAAGTCTTGTATTCAAAGCCAACTTGTAACATTAAAAAATTAGTATTGATTTATCACGGCATAGATTATTTCTTATCACTTCTTGGGTATAATGGAACATTTTCTTAAGTTTTTTATTTTCTTCTCAGAGTCGTTTTAATCTTCATCTAAAATGACTCTGAGTCAGGCCCCAAAGATGTTTATGCCCGCGAATAAACTCTATTGTTTTATTTACTAAAGACCATTTTTTTTATTGACACCTAAGTTGTCAAGGCAACCTAGGTACTGCATTTTTGCACTGACTAAAATTACATTCTACCGTTTGTTAAGGATAACAGATTATTTGCTACTATTTTTGCAAGACAAAAACAATTGTCAGGAAGGATGTTTTCTAATACTAGTTGTAACCCTTCTGTGGTATTTGGTGTTTGATTCGTTTTAAATAATTGCCAATTATCACCTTGAACGTGAAAATTTGTCTATATTTTGTAAAAGTGTATAATTGATTAATGCTTCCTATGGTACTGAGAAAAAGAAATGGTTTGGAAATCAAGGTGTTTTTAGGTTGGCAATTTTTCTTATTATCAAGACCGTAACTTTTGAGTTAGCAGCGACACTGTAAGGAGGAATTGGATGCTAGTCACTCAGATAGCACTTTCACCAAATAAACTGGCCATCCCACCACATTCAAGTACCTTGTACACTGATGCTAAAAGGCCTGAGTTAACATACCAGTTAGGCAAAAAAACTATTCAATCTGAAGAAGGGATGAAAACATCCAAATCTGTTCTAGGAAAGGAGGACTTGGTATATTTTAAGCTTAGTGGTTACAGTGAAAGATGTGCTATTTTGATGAATGATACTGAAGACTTGATTTGGGAATTGAGCCTAGGCTCTCCTTCTGAAGAGACAATTGGATGGGTGGACTTGCCATAGCTGATTTCAAATAAGAAAGAGATTTTTGCGTGATGTGACTGAAAAAAGTGTTCTACTAATCATGTGTTACAGTATTATATTATGCAAAAGTTGTCGACGAAATTCCTAGCTATTCAACGAACTTTGGTCCGAAACGAAATTTGCGCGACACTTCGACGAACTTTCGAAGCAGCTATTGATTGGTTTCATCCGAAATTTCGCGGATAAATTCAATGGGAACCTTAGTGAGTCCCGAAATTTCGAGGATCTTTTCGGAGAAAATTTGCGCTTCATTGTTAACGCAAACCCTATAGCGCAAGATGCCGTAACGCCACGACTTCAAAGGTCACGCATCAGAAATTAATTCAGAGTAAATCCGGCAGAAAACTATAGAAGCCATATTCCAGAAAACTTTAAGTCAAACTAAGTAATGAACCGCACCAACCACTGCAAAACGATGTAAAGCTCTTAACTTTAAATTTCAACACTGAGAAAAGTGAGACAAGCGTGACTTGATCGACCACGTGTAAACGAAGGTGGGCTAACACACATTTTCATAGCCGGCGTTGATTACGGTTAAATTCATTACGACAAATTTTAAAAAGAGCAAGAACTATTTCCATTTCTATTTCGAAAGAATAATTGACAAAATTCGGCGATTTTCGTTTGTTTAACTCTTGCACAGACCAGATCTCAAATGTCCATATTGAGGAGGAAGTTAAAAAATTGTTTCTGAGTATGCCTCTCTTAGTCTGTCGCCCAACTTAAATTCCTTATCTCTCATGCAATGCTTGTTGCTACAGTGTCTAGAACAAATTTGAAAAACACTTAATGTGTGGAAATCTGTATGTCAAAGTTCTACAAGAATTTTCATTACCACTTTTCTTTAGTTTTCTTTTTCTTGTGTTCGTTGTTCTAATGTGAAACGAAAGCAGTGCTCTCCTTTTGAGACAGTGACTATTTCAATTTATCACATGTACTACCTCTTATTCCGTTTTAAATCTCTTGGAGTTCTTGAAAGTTCGAACAACCTGTCATATTTGAAATAAGGGAGAACACTGAAAAAGATAAAAGCCAAACTGTTTTAAAAAATTTTAAGCCTTACATTAGTTAAAGCTCAGCAGCGGGTACAAAATCGAGCGGCATCTTTTTAGGGCCTTGTCTAAGCCTTACCTGTGAGTAGATAGCAAGGAGCTAAAACAGAAGATTGGAATCAAAGAATGATTGATATTCCACATTCACTTTTGCGCAAAATTATTAGAGTTAATTTTAATTATTATGAATAGTGTGTTGTATTCATTTACAGGCTGCAAGAGATGGTAAAACTGACATCATCACGCAAAGACTTACCAAACTTGCATCAAAAAACCCAGCAAGATATAAAAAAGTAATAAACAAGAGAGATGAGGACAACACCACACCTTTACACTATGCTGTACGATATGGACAGGTGGAGGTTGTCAAAGTGTTGGTAGAGCTAGGAGCAGGTAATTTTTATTAATTAAGTTTTCTACGTATGGCATGAGGACCAGCAATTGAAATTTGGAAATTATTATGAGACTTAGAGAACTGCAAAAACTGATAACTTTGATGGAATTTTATTGTTTTCCAAAGATAAAGGCCATCAAGCATGAGAGAACTTACCTGCAAATGGCAACAGTGATTATTTTGGAGTTTTGAGGTTTCCTTGCTTGTTCTTAACTTTACTGTGATTGGACAGCATGTATTGTGCTTACGTTTTTCACAGACCTAGGTCCAGTTGTATAAAGGGCAGGTAATGTTATCCAATGGGTAAATCGCTATTCAGCGAATAAGTGATGGCAAAATGTATGGTGTTATCCACCATTCAGAGATTTATCTTGTGGATAGTAATATCCGACCTTCAAACAACAGGGACCTGAAGTATACGCTTTGTATGTTACTGATGTAAGAAAGAGTTGTCTTACATTCATTTAGAATAATTGCTCCTTTGATTAGAAATGCACATGCTCTAAGGATTGTGTCATATCTTGTTATTATCACTTCGAGGTGATTATAGTAGGAGGGCTTAATTTTGAAATGGCTACCTCGCATTTTGTCAGTATCATTGAGGAATTCATGAATCCAACGAAGAAAATTGATTACTGACGAGCACAAAAGATGCCATTAAGTTTGGAGTAACGTTTTTCAAAAGAACAATATAAAATTTTTGCTGATTGAAATTAAATTAACCAGGCGCTGTTAAATACAAATGGAAATTGGCTCTTTTTCTCAAGAAGGGTAATTCGAACAACAGAAACGGAATGGTTTCATCATCAGAATATTTAAAAAAGAATTTGAAAGCCCCTAAGCAATTATAATAGTTAAGAACAATTATTTGTAAAAGGCAAAATGATTTTTTTAGCGTTCCCATGGACTTCATCTTGAGAATTATTCAATAATATTCACTTTGCCTCAGACAAATAGTTTTTAATTAAGGAGTGTAGGTCTTAATCACCTTAGGACTTCCTTATCTACATGTATGCCCCTGCTCTAACAAGTAGGTTCTCACCATCCTAATCGTATCTTTTTGATAGATATTAACATCCCTGGAGAAGATGGAGCATCTCCCTTGCATTACGCTGCAAGATTCCGAGCAAACTTACAAGTGTCACAAGTGAATGCTGGTGGCGAAAATGGAACAGTTCCTGATGGAGTAGTAGAAAGTAACATAGGTGTTGTAGCTGCACCTCTGACACATGCCATCAGCTCCAGTAGTCTTCTTGTAGAAGTGAACCAAGCTATGTCACAGGTCTGAAGAGTATATGTTGTAGTTGATTCAAATGAATTTTGGATAAAATTTTTATGATGGACAGTGAGTGGTAAATATCTTGACATGCATGTACACCATCAATTTAATATGTTTTGTTAGTTAATAAACCACACAACACAGGTGGAAGGGCACAGCCAAGAGGGGTTCTTGTGGTGCCTGTGATCCCAAGGTAAGCCTTTATCTGAGCAAACAACCGGCAATATCCAGGTGGAAAAAATGCCATGACGATGTCTTGACCACAAAAGCCATTGTTGAAAAGCCCACGTTTTGAAATATGTTTTGTATCAAAGTATTTTCATCAGTGACTCTTATTTACTCAATATGGGCCTTCATGCTATGTTAATATGAGCCCACTGAAACACAAGGGGGCACTCAGCTTACTTGTTAATAAACTTCATGCTTATGAATAGGATGAAAGAAAAAGATTACCAAAGAAATAACCCCTAAAATTGAATTTTCTGTGACATCTGTGAAAACATAGGCATGCGTCAGTTTTTTTCTTTGGCTCACAGGGTGGGTTGAGATAGGACAGTTTGTGTACTCAATGATTTCATTTTTGTCACTGAAAAGAGCATAACTTTCAAAAAACGAAAATATCGTAGAAAGATAGAAAAAACCGAATTTATCTGAACACACACATATATTATGTGATCTATTGTCTCTATTGTCTAAATATTTCTAACTTAAAATGAAATGCAATGGTACCACACTTACTGTATGTTGCCTCCTTTGCAACCTTTGTTTGGTCTTGTCACACAACACCCTCTATTCCCCCTTTGAGAGAGAGCGGGCATTGTGTGACGAGACCAAATACTGGTTGGAAAAGAGAGAAAATCCAAATCCTCCAACAGAGAGAAAATCAAAACTATTCGTCTATAGTTAGTTACCTCAAAAATATTATTTCACGTAATATCAATTACTACATAAAGCAAACTGAAACTCTGTTGAAGCTCTAATAGACCTTAGCCAAAGATACATTGCGATCTCGCATGGGTGAAGATACATTAAACAAAAGAAAAGGAAAATATTTCAAAGAGGGCTCCTTGATTGGTTGTTGCCTAACTGAACTTTACCCTCTAAGTGTGAAATACGTGATAAAATGCAGGTTGTTTTACAAGGAATTAACATGCAATTGGGTTAAGTCCAAGGTAAGCTTAAAGTGACTTTAAATCATAGAAAAAGTTAAACGTGGAAATGCATTGAAAACTCAATATCAGTAGCATTTTGTTCCATGTGAATTTTTTCCAGTGGGGTTGGACAATGCGGTTAGAATGTGTGATAAAATGCAGGTTGTTTACAAGAAAATGACACGTGATAGAGCGAAGTCCAATGTGGCAAAATGGAATTTGATCGGTGGAATACAATTCAAGCACATGAAAAATTACCTAATGTTCATGTAGTGCAATGATTGCATGTGTTCTGATTGGACTAATGGACGTTGTTTTCATGGTATGTGATAAAATGTAAGTTGTTTGGCGTGTGCGTTGTGAGTGAAGAATTTAAATTTTACCTTTCATATCCTAATGAATCTTGACCTTAATCAACGAGGCTCTCACGAAGGCCACAATTACATTACACGTATCCAATGAGTCCAAAATTTCTGGTTGATGTCATTCTTTGTGCACATGACATCATTTATGAGAAAACAGTACCCAAATGCTGTGATTGGTGCATGATATTAAACTGCAGCAGTCTGATTGGTGATAGCAACATACCACTCTATACGCAAACATAGTTATTTTATAACAAAAAATAACTAAAAAATTATGCCCAAATGCTGTGATTGGTGCAAGATATTCAAATACTATGATATATGATTGGTGTGAGATGACGAAATGCTGGGGGTGATCTTGTGATATACTAACATCCCATCCAGAGGGGAGTAGTGATACTTCTCATTGCTTAATGCTAAGGAAACTGGGATAAGCTCAAGCAGGGTGAGCCAATTGGCTCAAATAAAGGTTTAACCAGTTTACTTAGTGTAAAAGAAGAAGTAAGGTTGTTGAAAGTACACTCAACCCCTGAAATAAACAATCTTTTTCTCAGGATAAGCACACCACTATTAAATACTGACATATTCATCAATTTTAACTATTGTATGTTGACTCTGGTAATAGTAACTTAGAAATTTGATACTGAAATGTTTTCTCTTCTTACAGGTTTCTTCAGTGGATGAATCTCTAATTCATTTTTTTGTGAATGAACGCAAAGGGGATGTCAATATTAAAGATTCCTATGGAAGCACCCCTCTTCATTATGCAGCATCAAAAAGCAATGTAACTGCTATAAAAGAACTGTTGAATAGTGATGGGATAAATGTTGATGTAAGTTTTTCTGGACATGTTCATGTAAATGTTTTTTTATGTTGTGTAACTTAATAGACAAATGTGGAAGAAGATTACTTGGATTTAGGGTTTTGGAATTGATCAGTTTTGACAGTCTAGGCCACTTGGCTTGTAAGACACAACCTCTGGTAAGCATAAAGTTCTATGTGACAGAAAGTTCTAAATTATTGTGTGTCTATATCTTACATACTGACAGGCGGCAGATGCCAGTGGATCCACACCTCTCCATTGTGCTGCTACTGAAGGTAATGTAGAAATTGTCAAGGCATTACTGGAAGTAGGATCTGATCCGAGGGCAAAGGATTATGAGGGAATGACACCAATTCATTTCGCCTGCACTTATGGGAATCTAGAGACTGTGGAACTTCTATTTGAGCATGCAGAAAGAAAGGGTGATCTACTTGAGATGTTAGAGGACAGAAACAAAGAAGGTGAAACAGCACTTCATTCTGCAGTGGGAGGTGGTCACATTAAAATTGTTGAAATGTGTTTGAAGAAAGGAGCAAAGGTGAAAGCAAGACGGGGTAACCTTGCACAGCCATTACACATTGCTGCCATCAATGGATATGTCAACATTGCAGAATTATTGGTTGCTCATAGGGCCAAGATTGAAGCAAGGAATGCATACCATGTGACTCCATTACACAAAGCTGCTGCCTTTAATAAGATTGAGATGGTGGCTTTTCTTCTTGAAAAGTAAGATTAAGAAAGGTTCATAGATATGTAAAGTATATAAACGTGTCATATTTCATATTAAAGTTCACACGGCAACCAGGTGGACAATCAGACATGGTTTGATGCTACTCTGCTTTGCAGATTTAATGAATGTAAACCGAAGAAGTTACAATTCATAGACCCAATGTCTCGACACTCCTGTCTAGTGCCTTCATCAGGGGTGATCTAAACGCTGCAACAGGAGGTCCTTTTATATGATTACTAATTAGCGGCCTTTTTTCTGACGAGGTGTAAATAGGCGTCAGGAAGCAAACGGCCATAAAGGAGCGTGGGCGGAGTTAATATGCCAAGCCTCCAAACAAAAGCGCTGGTGGTAACGCCGATTAGTGGTGATAATTTTAGAAATATCCCATCCAATTGTATGGTTAGTTAGGCATGTGTGCTCCGATAAAGCCGAATTTTCCTTTTTGCAAAAGAAAACCGCTTTTTGATGCTCTTTTAAACGTGTACCAAATCGGATACGCGGAAATGAAGCGAAGCGCCTCCTGTCACATTTGAATTCAGTGGAGCCGTCGATCCAATTCACCCTTGAGCGTGAAAAGGATAGAAGTTTGCCCTTTCTTGATTTAAATGTGTCCAGAGGGGGTTCAGGGTAATTTAGAGACAAGTGTCTACTGTAAACCTACCCACACCGACAAATACCTCGCTTTCGATTCTCACCACCCTATTTGCCATAAAAAGTCTGTAGCCAAAACTTTACTTAGGAGGGCTGACTGTCTACCATCTTCACTAGATTCGAAGGCTGAGGAGAGGAAACATGTTTCCAATGACCTAAAGGCAAATGGCTATACGAAAACCTTTCTCCGTAACTGCCAAAAACCAGTTACAACCAGTAATGCTCTTGATGAAAGGGAACCAGCCACTGGTTTTGCTGTTATTCCTTACATTCAGGGTGTTACGGAACCCATCAAGAGAATTTTGAATAGCCACAACGTTAAAGTTGCTCAAAAAACCTTTTCGGACTTTGGGGCATATTTTCGCTAAACCTAACGATCCTGTCACGAAAGAACAACGAACCGACGCCATTTATTCTATTCCTTGCA